TTGCTCGTGAGGTTGATATCTTAAGCTCAAGGAACCAGTATGATATTGTTCTACGAGGTGCCTACTTTCCCAAATGTTTATAATTTGTTTGCAGAAGGTTTTTAGTGGTTTGAACTAAGCAATCAGTCAAAAAATTGTGTTAATGATTGCTTTTTTAGTTCTGTTCGGCTTTATGTACTCATTTCGATCCATCTACATGTGCAGAACTTGGTCCATACACTCTGGATTTCACCTCAAATGGTCGGTATTTGGCTGCTGGACGCAAGGGTCACTGCTATTGTTGATATGAAGACATTAAACCTAGTTAAGGAGATCAGGTATGCACTGCTTAGCAAAAAAAATATCAGATTTTGTGGTTGAACTCGAAGGGGATGCGGTGCATTCAGTGTCAGTCTGATTTTGCATATCGCAAGTTCCCGTTTCAATGTTATTAAGAAAATTCACCTTCTTTGACCTAAACGTTTTGGTATTGAGTTTTACCATAATGCTTACAATATGGGTTGTTTATGGTTTCAATTTATGTGCTCTTGTATGTGAGCGGCATATGGAGCAATTTTTTTATAATCATTGTAGAAAATGAATGCATATGTTTTATTTTCCACTCCACCATTGTGCAAGGCTTTGTTTGCAATATTTAGTCTAAGAGGAATGATAGTATGGATCAAATTTGGAATAGATCTCTGTTTGGGGAATCTAAAGTTTTTTGCATTTAATCTCATTAAAACCTAGAGCCAATAAGTTAATTTGAATCCAAGTGTTCTTTTCTAGTGTAAATCCATTGGCTCATCCTGGCTCTTATATTTTACAGCTATTGATTATCCATGGCATCATATTGGTATGAGAATCTGAATATCCAACGTTGCATATGTCTTGTCATTGCTTTTTGTTAGTCTAAGTTCTCAGATAGCACTCTAAGGTCTCTATGAAATTCAGCCAGTGGGGGAAAGTAGAACTTCCGTCACATGCTTTTAATGTTATATAAGGGGTCAACAAACTTGATTTATTGTAGCAGGATTCTATCCTAGATATTGCTGATATTTTTTGTCTTAGCAAAGTAATAGTATCCTGAGACATATAATTAGGTTGGGACTTGGGAGTTATAACTGAAATGATTATTGCAATTTATACTTTATTCTTGTATTTCAGGTATCAATTAATGCTCAATGTTAAACTCTTACTCAAAAAATTGGTATGATAAGATTTGACTAAACTAAGTGATAATTTTTTTGGCCATTAGCAAGAGGTGATTTACTTTACCTATAATTGCCGGTTCTTTTGCTCAGGTTAGAGAAACAGTGCGGGATGTAGCATACTTGCATAATGACTCTTTTTTGCTGCTGCTCAGAAAAGTAAGCCTTCTTATGTTACAAGTGAAATGTTCATTTTGACCCAAAAAAATAAGTTTTATTCCTATTAGTTGGTGCATGTGCTTTGATATGGGCCTACTCTGTTGGACGTACGCTTTTATGAAAGCAATCATTGTCTTCATCAGTTTGTATCTTTATAAGATCTATTTCTGTCTATTAAGGATGCCATATTTCTACTATAATGTCATCAAAGTGAAAATAATTGCTGCTAATGAGTAAGAGCTTTATCAGAGTTCAGCAGCTAAGGTGCTAATTATTGCAGGTACCCTTATATTATAATCGTGATGGAACTGAACTCCATTGTTTAAAGGTCAGTATACCTTTTTGATGAACTGTTTTACTTAATTAGTTGCATTGCACATTTTTTTTTTCAATCTCATTTTTTAGAAACCAGTTAAATGACTAATCAGTTTCATCTAAGCTCTTCTTTGTTTTATATTCTTTGTACTTTATTAGATCAGTAGAAGAAAAAAGCAATGGTGGGTTGTGTATCATATCTGAACTTCTTGTGTTCTGGCTTCCTTACCCTAGCATGCATTGTTTTCCTAGAAACTTAAAAATTCTTGTCTCTAGCCCTCTCTATCCTATTTCCGTCTTTCCTTTAAGCTATCAGAAACTTATGGAATTTTCTAGTGTGATAATTACGAGGCTTAATCCGATATTAAAACTTACTCATTATTTCTGCAGCTATTTTGTTTTTCTTTGGCCCAGCCGGCTTGTTGCTTCTTTTTATTCTGCACTTAGATAATAGGCCACATTAAATCTGATCATGATTCTTTGAATATACTACCTTCAGGAAATGTTATCCTTTTAGCGTAGTCTACGCCTTCAGTCTAACTTCATTATTAACAACTCACTTTTGGCATCATTCTTTTCATGGTTGTTAAGTTTACTCGGGATACATTAATCAAACTGAGATAGAGTTTTGGTTTTCTTTTTTCATTTTAGGAGCATTGGTGCAGTACTAAGACTTCAGTTTCTTAAAAATCACTTCCTCTTGGATCCATAAACAAATTTGGGCAGCTTCGTATCAGATGTTACAATGGGTGAGATAGGCAACTTCCGGACTGGTTTAGGCCGTACTGATATTATGCAGGTCAATCCATACAACGAGTTGTTGCATTAGGCCATTCAGTGGTACAGTAAACCATGTGGAAGCCACTAGTGCCGTCCCGCTGGTAAAGATGCTGTGTCATCCAGGACCTGTCTCGTCATTGGCATTCCATCCCAATGGCCATGTCATGGCTACATCTGGGAGAGAAAATAAAATCAAGATTTGGGACTTGAGGAAGTTGAGGTTATCCAATCATTGCCATGCCATGCAACCGTCCCGCTGGTAAAGATGCTGTGTCATCCAGGACCTGTCTCGTCATTGGCATTCCATCCCAATGGCCATGTCATGGCTACATCTGGGAGAGAAAATAAAATCAAGATTGGGACTTGAGGAAGTTTGAGGTTATCCAATCATTGCCATGCCATGCAAACCTTGAATTTCAGTCAGAAAGGCTTGCTTGCTGCTGGAACCGGATCATTTATACAAATTTTAGCCGATTTTTCTGGATCTCAGAATTATAGCAGCTATATGACTCATTCCATGGCAAAAGGTTACCAGGTAGGGAAAGTTTTGTTTCAGCCTTATGAAGATGTTTTGGGGATAGGGCACTCCATGGGTTGGTCTAGTATTCTCATTCCGGGATCTGGTGAACCCAACTTTGATTCTTGGGTGGCAAACCCATTTGAAACATCTAAACAGAGGCGAGAGAAGGAAGTGCACTCTCTACTCGACAAACTTCCACCCGAAACAATAATGTTGGACCCAACCAAGGTTGGTACTGTGAGAGCACCACCAAAGAAAGAGAAGCTAACGAAGAAGGAGATAGAAGAATCTGAAATGGAAGCTGCCATTGAAACCGCAAAGGATACCGAGTTTAAAAAGAAAACAAAGGGAAGGAACAAGCCAAGTAAGAGAGCAAAGAAGAGAAGAGAGATGATTGATAGAGCCAAGAAGCCGTTCTTGGAGCAACGAACGGAGGAACACGAAACATCCAGAAAGAAGCAGAAAACCAATCTGGAAACCGAAATGCCAAAAAGTTTGCAACGGTTTGTTCGCCAAAAAGCAACTTAATTATCTTTGATAACTGCATTAGCCATTCCAAAAGAACAACTGTTCTTATCTTCCCCACATTTTTTAGCCTCGCCTGAAGAAAAGAAGTATTGGAACCAGGTAGAGGTGGACACCATTGAAATGTATTCTCACTGTTCTATACATATAGAAATGGAAGTTAGAGTGCTAATTTTTGGTTCAATGGCTTATTTTTGTTGTGTTTAGCATGAACTTATGTTTTGTAGAATGAAGACCAGAAACTGGTTTTACCTTTTCATACCATTTTAAGTGGAGATTGGATTTGTACTTTTTCCAGCTGTGGATTTAAGTATAATTGCTTCAAATCATTGAGTTTGGGTGGTTCAATGCGAGTTGAATAGAGTTTGAGTTTGTGTTGGTTTAGTTATCAGCTGATTATTTAGAAATTGGGGTATAAAGGAATTGAGCTTGATGTATATATAAGGTAGTGTTTTGTGTTTGTCTATTTTTGAATGTGTTTTGTTTGTGTTTGTTTAAATTTTTAATATCCATTTGTTTTTTTTAAGGTGTTTGTGTTCAATTTGTTTAAAGTTCGATAACATGTTCATTTAAAGTCTAAACTAACATCTTTTATTGTTTTACTTGTAAGCCAACAAAAAATGGTTAGATTACGTCACTAGCTCTTAATCTTCTTAGGTTTCATAGTTTGATCTTAAACACTTATCTCGTGTTCAATTTAGTCCATATTTATATCAACATTTACAATGTAAAAAGTAGCAAGAGTATGAGACTCGTATAAATGAGTTTATAAATGAGTTGATAAATAAGATTATTCGTTAACATAAATAAATTTGTGTTTTTTTATTTATTAAATGAACATACAAATATTATTCATATTCATTTATTTATTTTATTTATTTTATTAATATTTATTTAATTTAATATATGAACATAAACAAATGTTATATGAACATTTCATCAAACAGTCGGTTCATTTACAATCATACTCGAAAAAGACTCCGAGTTTTTTTCTTCTATCAGGAAAGATGGAATTAATAAGATGTTCTTCCACGTGAAACTAATGGAAGATTATGAGAGGATAAAAAATCGAATCAAACAGAGACAAAACCGAGTTGCCATGAACTAGAGAAAGAAAGGATCAACTCTACGACAAAATCGAATCACCACTGCTTCAACAAAAGACTTGAAAATTATTCGGTCTATGAAATCTGTTGCGTATTGGTTTTGTCGAAGTCTGAGACAAGACTCTTACTACCAGATAATGGAAAGGAGACAACACCGACACCAATAAGTTTTCCCTCTTTTTGACCATTTTCCGCATTTGTACTCCATTGCCAATGTGCCATTGCGTCCAACCAAACACTATGTCGTGGATTTCTTGTTTTTCTTGCGACATTGGATCACTCTTGTCGGAAGAAGAAGCTAAAACCTGTCCCCTGCTGTCGGCTGATCCATGCCCATACCCACGTTTTCACCATTAGTATTATATTTCTAATATAATATATATACAAGTTGTAAACTACCTACGAAGAATTGAGAAGAAAAAAAAGAGAGGGAAGTGAGGGGAAAGAATGGAAAAAACCCAGAGTATCCCAACGATTGATTTCTCAGATTTTCCAGGACAATACGAGAAACTAAGGAAAGCTTCCGAAGAGTGGGGCTGTTTCAGGGTGGTGAATCACAAGATCCCATTGGAATTGATGCAGGAAATGAAGAAAATCGTGAGATCGTTGCTTGACCTCCCCATCGAAATCAAGAAAAACAACACGGATGTCATCGCCGGCAGTGGTTATTGGGCTCCAAGCACTAAAAACCCTCTTTATGAAGCTCTGGGTCTCTATGATATGGCCTCCTCCCAAGCTGTTCACGACTTCTGTTCTCAGCTGGAAGCCTCTCCTTCCCAAAGGTCTGCCTTTTTTTTCATTTTATCTTGATGGGATTGTTCTTGTTTCAAGATTTCACACCTTTTAATGGTCGATTCCTCTGTTGATTGATATTTTCCTATCTTTGATGAATATGCTTCAATGGTTGGTTTCTGATTTTGGTTCAGGGACACGATTGAGAAGTATGCTCAAGCAATAAATGAGATGATCATGGATATAGGTGGGAAAATAGCTGAGAGTATGGGATTGAATGGAGATTACTGCAAGGATTGGCCTTGTCAATTTAGGATAAATAAGTACAATTTCACCCCGGAATTTATAGGCACAACCGGGGTCCAAATACACACCGATTCTGGGTTTCTAACTATACTTCAAGACGATGAGAATGTTGGTGGCCTTGAAGTGGACAAATCTGGTGAATTTGTACCTGTTGATCCCTTGCCTGGCAGCCTCCTTGTCAATCTTGGAGACATGGCACATGTGATCCTAACACACTCTTTCGTGTCGTGTCGATGATTTTCTCGTATTATGATCGTGTTTTTGCCGTCATCGTCATCGCTGTTCTCGTATTATGATCGTGTTCTTGTTATTGTCGTCGTCGTTTTTTTCTTGTATTATGATCGTGTTGTTGTTGTTTTGCTTGTTCAGGTATGGAGCAATGGGAGGTTACACACCTTGAGACATAGAGTGCAATGCAAGGAGGCAAAGATTAGAGTGTCGATCGCCACGTTCCTCTTGGGACCGAAAGATGCAACGGTGGAGCCGCCGCCGGAGCTGGTGGATTCCGACCATCCACGCCTTTACAAATCGTTTACTTACGAGGAGTACAGAGAGCTCCGGATATCCACGAAATTGCAAGCCGGTGAGGCTCTTGCACTTGTACGTACCAGCGCTTAACAAAGGTGTTATGGACCATATTGCAATCTAATGAAAGCCCTTATGCCATGTTGGTTGATGAATAAAGCATGAATTCCCCTGGAAATGAAAGAATTTAAGATTGGAACCTTTTTTTGTAAAATATAAAATATATGATTTTCATTTCTTTACTTTCTTTTCTTCCAATTAGGTGACAAAGGGTATGCTGCAATTTTTAACAGATAATTTCGTGGGATGTCCCCAAATTATGATTCATATTCTAATTTGATCCCTGAATTCCAAAATATTTCATATTAGTCTTCAAACTATGACCCTTATTTTAAATTGATACTTAAATTTTAAGATGTTCTTTATCCATCTTCAAACTATTGGTATCGTTCTATTTTGATCCTTACGTTAGCATACCATTAACTCTAGTAGTTAAATAAATTAATATGTATTTTAAGGTCATGAGAAATTAAACTCGTGACATTCTAAAAATTTCTTAGGACCTTTAAAAATAAATTGTTTTTTTAGTTCATAAGTTCAATTCTCAAAACCTTCAAAATTTAATGAAATTGATGACATATTAATAGAATGATTAAATGAAATGATAGTGATAATTTGAGAACTAATATAAATATTTTAAAGTTTAAGATTATTTTAGATATCACAATTTAAAGAATAATATAGAATGTTTTAAAGTATAAAAACTAATTTAAATAGGGGGACATAGTTTGGGACCTCGAGTGCAACTAGCTCTCTTTTAATCACCGATCCTTTAGGAGGTGTTTGGTTCAAGGATTGTGGGATTCTCATGGGATGGGAATCACACATTCTCATGTTTGGTTGGTCGGGAATCTCATTCCCGGTAATGTTTTATTACTAATAGTAGATTTTTTAGGTATATTACCGGGAATGTCATTACCTCCCTTCCCTTAGGTATTGTAACATTACCCGCGTTTTGGACTAAAATACCTTTAAATTTTTATTTTTTTTCAAAAATATCCTTCTTCTGTCATTAAATAATAAAAATTCTACGAATGTTAAATTATAAATTTATCCTTAAATTATTTTAGATTTACAAAAAAAATCTATAATTAAAATTTTATATGAAGTTCAAGGGTTAAAAAAATTTATCCTTTTATTAAACTTTTTTTATATTTTTAATTTTGTAAAAAAAATTATATAAATATTATGAATTTAATTTTTTAAAGAAAATATATAAATATTTTACAATTTGTAATATTATACAAATATATAATAAGGACAATTTGGTTAAATATACATTCTAATAATCTTTTATTCCTTTAACCAAACACGGTAATCTTACATTCCTGCTAAACCAATCAAACACAAAATACAACATTCACAGTAATCATATTTCCTGATAATCTTTTATTCTCACTGATAATCTTATATTCCGTGAACCAAACGCATCTTTAAGGTAAAAAAAAGTACATTTGACAAAAAAATTACCTTGTAAGATGTGTATATATTGTCAATAGATTTTATAATTTATTCATAGTCTTAAAGAATTATACATTTATTTTTATATAAAAATTTAAAAGATTAGATGATGATTTTTGTTTAAATGTTTTATATTTTATAATTAAATTTAAATGAAATAAAAATTATATCATTAAATATAAGAAAATGAATAAATATAATTTTACTTTATTTATTTGTGAGGAGAGAAACAAGAAAGAGAGAACAAAACTTTGCTTGTTGCGGAATCTTTTTATTTTATAATCGAATCTTTACTTTCTAATATGCATTTTTTCACCTAAAGACTGGTTTGAAGATGGTTGTTTTACCATGGTGTTGGCAGATTGAATATCTTAGCATGCATATATTCATGTACTTCTGCAAATGCGCTTATTTGTTTGCTTTCTGTCGTTCCCTTGCTACCTATTTGGCTTTTGTTGTCTTTTCATGGTGATTGGATTTTAATATCTCTCTTTTTTCCTGCAGTTGAATAGGGTTGTCACCGGACCAAGAAATCCAGGAGTTGCTGGTGATAGATCTGGTTCTTTTTCAAGGGAAAGTAAGTAAAATTAAGCCATATTTTATGCATGTATACTTGTGGTTATGATCTGTATTGATGAGTGAAAACATGTAATATCAGGTGATATTGTAAAAAAACAAACACTTTTATTCCACTTTTTTGCTTGAAAATCTTGGGATCAGTTTAGTGTATATGATAATAATTCTATAAATATGATTTTATTCTGTTCAACAGTGGTTGATAACATTTATATTTTAATTGCTTATTTCTCATGTGAAAATTTATTTTCAGGTTCATCTGCTACTGACTAGGCTCAAGATGGAGATTTTTTCAACTGGATGGATCAGCATGTGTTCGATACAGAAGATGCTCAAGAAGGCAAGAGATGGTCCTCACAACCACAATCAGCCGCTGCTCTTTTTTTAGACTCAAAGCCTTTGTATAGAACTTCATCATATCCCCAGCAGCAACCAGAGCCTCTCTTCATGTTTGATACTGAAGATGTTCAAGACGGCAAGAGATGGTCCTCTCAGCCACAACCATCTTCTGCTCGTTTTTCAGAAGCGAAGCCTTTGTATAGAACTTCATCATATCCCTAGCAGCAACCAGATCCTCACTTCTGAAGGGAACCAATTATGGTACCCAACTCAACCTTCACATCTTTCCCTCCTCCTGGTAGCGGATGCCAGCAGTCTTTGCCTGGCAACCTAAATATTCCCGTTCTTACTACTGGATCTCAGTCACCCTTCTCTGCAGCAAGCCTCTCTCCAATGTCCACCTCCAGCCTTCATCTGTCTGGTCTATCTCAAGGATTACCTTTGGCGGTAATTTGTCCCAGTTAACATCTCCTGGCTTATCTTTTAGTAGCAGGTCACAAATAATTGGGTTAACCGGTCTGGTCTATTACATGGAGAACATGCTGGTCTTTTGCATCATATGCTGCAACAGCAAATACCTCATCTAAATGGCCTAATGTCCCCACAGTTAATGTCCCCTCAACAGCGGTTGCAAGAGCAGAGACTACACCATGCAGTTCAACCATCTTTAGCACAGTTTACTGCATTGCTTCATTCAAAAAAAAAAAATACTGCATTGCAATATCAACTGTATAATTCCCATCCTTCATCACACAAAATGATGCTTGAACTGGCTGATCTTAGGGAACATCAAACTAAATCATCACAAAGAAACAGGCAGAGGATGCTATTTTCTTAGCAAAGTTCTGATACTGGTAGCCAGAAAAGTGAGAGTGGTTGGTGCAATTCAGATCCAAGTATATGACTGGTGAAGAGATAGGGGCATTCTCAAGATACAGCATGCTGCCACGCATAGTAATGATCCTTATGTGGATGATTATTACCACCAAGCTTGTCTTGCCAAAAGATCTTCTGCGTCCAGGGCTAAACGTCATTTTTACCCATCTCGTAAGAAAGAATCACATTCTCGATCCCGTAACAGCAGGCAGCAGCATTCGCATCTCAATGTGGATGCTCTTGGGAAGGTATCTTTGTCTTCCCTTCGTAGACTGCGTCCTCTACTTGAAGTCAGTCCTCCCTTAGTTTCAGGTGATGCTTCTGATCAGAAAACTGAGAGGCCTCTAGAGCAGGAACCTATACTTGCAGCTAGAATCATCATTGAGGATGGTTTCAGTCTTCTTCTTGAGATAGATGATATTGACTGGCTCATACAATTTAGTCAACCTCATGATGGTGGGGCTCAGCTCAGACGTAGGTGGCAGATCCTGCTTAAAGGCATGGCAGCATCACTTCAGCTTGTGGATCCACTTAGTAAAGGTGCGCGTGCAGTTAGCTGTGCTCCCGAAGATGACATTGTGTTCCTAAGATTAGTCTCTCTTGCAAAAGGACGGAAGCTTATCACTAGGTTCCTTCAGCTTCTCATCCCTGGGAGTGAGCTTATGCGAATATCATGCATGAACATTTTTCGTCACTTGAGATTCTTGTTTGGTGGTCTTTCTTCGGATCTGGAAGCAACCGAGACAACTAGTGATCTTGCAAAGACTGTTTCCATGTGTGTTAATGGAATGGATCTCCGTGCGGTTAGTGCATGCCTCATTGCAGTTGTTTGTTCTACGGAGCAGCCTCCACTTAGGCCCTTTGGAAGCTATGCTGGTGATGGTGCTTCTGTTATGCTAAAATCAGTTCTTGAAAGGGTCACTAAACTTCCAAGTCATCCTTCTGGAAATTGCAGCATGCCTAATTATACCTTTTGGAGGGCTTCGTTTGATGAATTTTTCACCCTTCTTACCAAGTTGTGTGACTAAATAGAGACAAGAATCAAATCAATACGAAATCAGTCTCAGCCATCCACAGAAGTCATTGGTTCAGAGGCTATAAGGCGTGAAATGCCTTGTGAACTTCTACGAGCTAGTCTTCCTCACACAAGTGAGTCCTAGAAGAAGCTTTTGATGTACTTTTCTCAGCAATCTGTGCCCATGAATGGATCCAATTTGCCTGCTGGGAGTACCAGACAAATCAACTCCGAGTCGGTAAGGGGCTAATAAAGAAAAAGGGGGTTGTGTGTGAAGATCGATAACAGTGCACTCAATAGGATGTGAGTGGGATAATAGAGGCAAGGGGTATGTATTTTTACAGTTAATGAGTGTTGTTTAGCGGGGTACAGGCCAACATTATTTGCCTAATTGTCTCCCTTCCCCTCTTCACCCCCTTCCCCTTTTTTTCCTTCCCTAAAATACGGGCCTTCCCCTTTTTTTCCTTCCCTAAAATACGGGGAATTTGATGGAACTTATCATAGTAACACACATGAAAGTGTTATCTAATGAGGGAGAATTGATGACCGGAAGTTGTTAGTTCAGCTTCTGGGGAGCTATATTTTGATGCTCTGTTTTGAGACACTCCAACACCGATTGGAGGCGTTGTAGCAGCAGCAGCAGCAGCAGCAGTTGTAGTATTAGTGGGTTAGAATGAAAATGCATGTACAGTCTCTGTTACCGATCCTTTGGAAACACTCCTTGTCGGTACCGTTTGAGGGAGTCTAATGATGTCCAAATTGGGTTTTATTTATATTTTCTTCTTTTGTGTGTTTTCCTTGCTGGAAACTAAGGAGTATTTAAGGGGTGGCGGAAGGGCTGGCTTCGCTGAGCAGTCGGAATCAACCCGTAATAATGTAAAAAGTCTTCAAACATGTTCTATATGAGAGGATCTTTGCTTCGGATTTTATCCACCAAATCTTGCGACATTGTTTTCATTTCTTTCTGAGTTCCTATGTCTTCAATGCCATCCACATGGCCGCTTTGTTGTGCTTCTGTCCATGCTTCATGATCAATTCATGCTCCAACTGCTTCATTTGTGTTTTTTCTTCTCTCTTTTCTTTTTCATTTTTAATTTTTAATTTTTAATTGTTTGGTATTTAAGACACTTTTTATTAAATAGAAAAATTGTATTGAAATGTAGAAGTGGCTGTACAGTCAACTCCTTTCTCTATATTTTCTGAATGTTAATTACTTGCATGTCAAAATAAAATGAGTCATCAAATAGTTATGAAGTTTTACAACAGCAAACCCTAGCTTTGAAGATAACATGGAGGTAAGGAAAATACACATGTAACAAATATAAACAAGGAAGTTTGTCATTATATTATATAAATCCTAAAAAAGCCAATGCTTTCTTCTCGGTGCTCTGGTGGGAACATCTGTAAATATATATAAATATAAAGAGAGAGATACTTCGTTAATCTGGCTAATGAAATAACAAGAATTGGGCGAAAGATAATGCATTAAAAGAAAAAAGAGATGAAAAATGGGGTCTCACCTCCACTTGCATACAATGAATTGTAATGCACTTCACTCCAGAAGCTCAGCCAAACTTCTGAAATAGACAATAATAAGCAACTTAGATTAAGCATCGGCTGCTAAACGAAGGGGGGATCAAATTGTCTAAGGTAGCTTAGGAATGCGATCATCAATGCTCAAAATTAAACTACTATAACAGACGGCAATGAACTTGATATAAAAGTCAAAGTTCATAAGAAATGAAATTTCTATCATGGAACTGAAAGGACGACCACGTAAGAAATCAGGCAAGACAGGTTATATAATATCTACCTCTACTAGGACTTGCTTGTTTAGGCATGATCTCGATGTAGCAAGTGTCACGAAAAGAGGTGACTAGACAAATTTTGGCTCCAAACTGCAATCGATACCGAAGAGGTCAAACATCATAAGCTTTCCTGATAAATAGCTAATAGATGGAATAACAAAATAAGTTTATTACTGCAGAGGGGACTCTTTAAGGTTTAAGCATTTCTGCATGAGCTTAACTTGATGAACTTCAGTTAATCACGCGCAAGAATCTCAAAGTATTGTTTGGTAAGATTATGGAACCTATACATAAACGTAAAGGCCTTTTTCATAGAGTTTCATTGGCATGGATGATCATATCCATCTCAGGTGAAAGACAGATTAAACACTATAGTGGAAGATCTAAGCTATTTTAAGATAAAACAAACAATAGAGAATGACTTGGAAAAAATGAGCTTCTACGGGGCCGTAACAAGAAGTCATTCTAAGGAGTCAAAAAGACGAAATTTCAACTTACTCGGTCAGCAGCTGCTTGCAGAGTGATATGATCTCCCCATTCCCCAGATCTAGTGAAACAGAAAAAATAGCACTAAATGAGTTGGTATTTACCCAGTTAGATCATTAAAAAAACCTATTATATTCATCCAGAGGAAATTAAACAAGACTCAATATCTAACTTTTTCATCTTCTTCAGGTAGCTTTTGTACTTCATTGGAACATAGCCTTCATACAACTTTTTGGAATGCTTTAGCTGAGAAATAAGAAAATAAAATAAACCGAAAGAAGAATAGAGAGTCGTTGTAAACATTAAAATGAATATTTTAATCTCAATTATTGCTTATCTAGCCTAGCTTTAGGAGATAGAGATGATAATAGAGTTTAAATGAAACTAGATAACATGATAGAAATTTTTGGCTAGTTCGGTATTTCAAATGCATAATTAACCCTTACATATAATCAAAAATAGTATAGGCATCAACATATATACACAGAAGCCTTTGAGATCTTCAACTTGTATTGATGTGTAACATATGATTGAGTTGGTAAAAGAAAGCTTTTATTTCTGATACTGTGTAAGGAAATGCATACACCAAAGTTGTACTCTTTTATATTATGCACTCGCCTTCATTCATATAAAAAGAGATGTAATAAATCTCACAAACAATAGAAGGGAAAACAATCCTAAAAGACATGAAAATCGCCTATTTGACGAGGAGAAATAACAAGTCAGTATTTCCAAAAAGGAAGGCTTCTTTGTCACAAAAAGAGATGTTTGCATTTGTGAGCAGCATAAATCTTACTTGCTTGACAATCTGCCTTCTAACATGTTTGTGGCAGTCTGGATTGCGGAACAGCTGATCCGCTAGTGCTCGGAACTATCCAAAAACATACCATCATGGAAGATTTATCAGGCAAAACAGCAGATGTCGACAAAGAAGACAGCAATAATGCAAAAAAAAACAGTGACTAATATTAAAATCTCACTGTTGCATATATGTGCATCTTTATACGGAAATATGGGTATAAAAGGTGATTGTAGAGAAAGTCACATCATAGGATAGGACCGAAAGAAAGACCTGGCAATTTCCATCACCCTCGATTTGCAATTCAGCTAAACCATATAGCCAGCCTGAACAAGGGGGAGAACCATCATAACAAAATAAAAGCAAACCGGTTTAACTGGATATCTGAAATGTAGAGATATCAAATGCAAAATCTGCAACCATCATGTTAGGATGTATGGCAATATTTTATGTCATATTTGCTATGTTGCCAGGACTTGGGTACAAGAGTCGGGTGTCCTAACTAACAAAAACCCAAGCAAAATGAAGCAAATTCACAAAAGAAACAAACGGATGTTGGTGAGAAATAAGATGAAAAGTAGTGCAATTGAACTGAGAATTTTTTCTTTGAATACAATTTCCAAACCCCAAAAAATTAATTATTTTCTCTCCTTTTTCTTATTTGCATTTCAATGTTTCTCCATTCTTCCTTATCATGTTGGTTTCATTCTCTTTCTTCCATCTTAATTTGTATTTCCCTAGACAAGTCCAGAGAATATGCCGAGTCCGAGCAACAACTCATGCTTCAACTCTTGCTAACCACAAAATTAATGAATACCAACCCAATAAGAACGGAATGGTTTTAGCCGTGTAGGAGTCATTTAATGCACAAAATTATTAACAATACAAATCCAATATGTTTTTTTTTAACTTAAGCCAACAAGGAACATAATTCAAGAGACCTTCAGCAAAATGGAAAGAGGCAACGAAGTTTTTCAAAAGAAACAGACAAATATAACATTGTAGCAACCACAAAATTAAAGCCTAAAATGAAGTCCAAACCACTTTTGTTTTGTAAAAGCCTAAACTGGAGAAGACTACAAGTAGTGAACAACATAAGATGAAACAATCGATGCAAAATTGATATAGTGTGTATGCCAAGATCGCAACCTTTCAGAAAGTCGCTCATGATCTAAGGTTGCATCATTCGCATCAGGTATTTCCCCATTGACACGAGGAGTGAGCTGCCAACAAAATGATCATGGCAACAAATCATCAGCCAAATAGAATGAAGTACAGGTGAGAACAGTGACACAGACATTGAAATAATCATTAAACATGGGAGCAAAAAGAGAAGTATAGTTTTTTGAACCATGTTAAATCGAAATCACAATTTCCTAATCAAGTGCAAGAGAGACAAAAAGAGTAAAAATAGGACACTAAATTACTCTTTGGTAGACTTCTATATCTACGGTAAGAAATGTTAAAAGAAAAAAAGGACATTATCACACTTCCTAGTAATACTCCTAAAATGCCAACAAATGTAAAGTGTGTTCTATAACAAATATACATTTAATATGAGAAGTTAAAAAAATGATCATCCCATAAGAGTTATGCGGCACTTGTACCAAAAAGAAGTACGAAGAACATGTTTTTACCGATCTATATCATGCCATAAAAACCCCTGCTTCAGTCAACACAATTATGCCACAATAATGCGTACAACTCGTGAACTAGGAAAACATGCCATAATGGGAAAAGAAAAGTTTAGAATGAAGTTATTGAATTAATAAAAAGTAAATAAATAAATAATGCTAGGGTCTCAGAAGTGACGAACACAACACATGTAAATATATCCAATTTGTCAACAACCATTGGCACTTATCGTAGTATAGCATGTCACTCAGAAGAACTTAGTCCTTGAGGAATGAAATAGCAGGTAAAAAAAAGAATGCCTTTTAGGTCCAAAACTATCATGGCCATTCCATGTGGTATAATTTGACATAATTCTTCAACGAAGCGACCAACCACGAATAAGAGTAGAAATGGTTATACCGAATGGAATCCAGATGAGAAAAGCCTTTTTCCAAGCTTGCCATTGTTGTGCAAGTTCTCCTCTGCTAAGATGGATGTATAGCTTGATCATCCTCTTTTTCTTGGAAACTGCTATTCAAAATCGAGCTGGAACTTGCACTTGCGTTACCGAAGCCTTCACTCATTCTGTCTCAATAATAACATTCAGCCAATAAAACATGGGATAGCAAGAATTAAGCCATCGATCATGCCGATATGAAAAGGTTGGCAAGCATCCAAATCAAGCAAGAGAACACCATTCAAATACTAACAATCATTCATGACCCAAAAAAGCTTAACAGAAATCATCAAAAGTAAAAAGAATCCTAAAGAATGACTTAAAAAAAAACCAAGTTATCCAAATGTTCCATGGAATGTTAGAAATACCCATACATAAAAAGCCCAGAAAACGAAAGACAAAATATGGTTCCTATCAAAGCTGTCGGTAGGATCGTGTAACTGATGCTTATAACTAACTCTTAGCTGAACAGGATTGAGAGAAGTCTATTTTAAACAAAAGCAGTTCCAAATTAACGATGAATTTCCTATCTTATCATCTTTCAAGCAAGCAGACGCCAAGTGATCCAAGTAAAACGGGAGCAAAGAGCCATGGCACATAAACCAAAAAAAAAAAAAACAAATTGTAAACCGAGAATACCCAGATTTAAAAACTGAAGAACTTCGAGAATTTGTTGAAGTATGATTCGATAGTTGTTTGATCTTCTAAGCTGAAGCTGAAAAGTTCTATAACCGCATCAAGTTTTGCTTCTTTAAATAATCGTGGAATCAATACCAAAAGAAAAAGAACAATTTTGTGTCAAAATACTTGTACGAAAAAATGCCTGATTTTACTGTTACTATTACAACAAAGTCAATGTGCAATTAAGACAATGCGAGGATATGATATTCGTGTGATAAACACTATTATGTAATTAAATATAATTTTTAAAATTTTAAAAAAATTAAAAATTTAGGCATAAAATATATCAAAAAGTATAGTTTAGATATTAAAACGTAAAGTTTCAATGATGTGAATATTAAAGAAACAAAAGATAAACAATATATATGTTTTAAAATGTGAATATTAAAATGAAAAATCCTTAATTTAATTCCCGACGAAACCCACACTTTGCCTTCGGGCGCTCTCATCACACGCTTTTGCAGGTTTCTTCTTCGAGATATGTAGCCTAAGGGTAAATTTTGTATTGTCATCTAATTATTTTGTAGTTCTCTTTTGATATTCAAACTATTTATTTTTTAAAATCACACTTAAAGTTATGTTTTGGCCACTCATAATTAAAAATAAATAAATTTATTCACGTGACAATTTTTAAATGAAGACGTTCCATTATCTTATGATTAACACGTCAGTATCATCATTAAATTTTTAACAACAAATGATCAAAACGTAACTTTTTGGTATAATTTTAAAAAAATAGTCGATGACCAAATTGAAACTATAAAAATAATTAGATGACTAGATGCGTAGTTTATTTTGTTATTAAATATATATTCAAAAATATATATAAATTCTTGAATGATTAATTTAAATGAAGTGTTGTTGTCATTAATATCAAATGATTTACCGCGAAATGATATTTTTTAAATACGATTTAAATAGTTATATCTGTAGAATATATATGTATGTATTTATATATACACACAATATAAATTGATTAAGAAAATTTTAAAGTTAAAATTACTTTAAAAAATCCTCACCGACAGTTAATAAATTTGTTAAAAACTTAATGTCCATCTATTTTTCTTTACATAATTTCGGTATTTAGCACAAAAAATTAATAAACAAACCACTTTCACAAAGCCCACAAAGAGTCCGAAAGGGTTTCACAGTATATATCACCTCATTTTCATTACGTAGGGTTTTTGGGAGAAGAGAATCAGAGACGCCGCCGCTGCCGTTACGATGGTGAAGTTTCTGAAACAAAACAAGGCTGTTATCGTTCTCCATGGACGATACGCCGGCCGGAAAGCCGTCATTGTTAAATCTTTCGACGATGGTACACGCGACCGCCCCTATGGCCACTGTTTGGTTGCAGGGATAAAGAAGTATCCGAGCAAGGTTATCCGCAAGGACTCAGCGAAGAAAACAGCCAAGAAATCGCGCGTCAAGTGCTTCGTCAAGCTCGTCAATTACCAGCACCTGATGCCTACGCGCTACACCCTCGACGTGGATTTGAAAGATGTGGTGACCGTCGATGCTCTCAGACGAAGGACAAGAAGGTGGCCGCTTGTAAGGCAACTAAGGCGAGGTTCGAAGAGAGGTTCAAGACTGGAAAAAAACAGGTGGTTCTTTACTAAGCTCAGGTTCTAGGGTTTTTATTGGAACAAAATGTTAACGGTTTATGTACTTTTTTTTTTTGAAAAAAAAGGTTAAAATTGAAGGTCATGTTTGAATCTGTTTCGACGAGATATTTATGGGTTCTTATTTTTTTATATCATGGTACGTGATATGCCCGTTTCTTCAAGAAATTTAAGCTTTGAATTATTCTGGGTCTTTTATGATTTTTAATTTTGTTTTGCCGTGGATCTGTAGATCGATGATAGCTGAGAACTGAATCTTTTAAAGTTTGATAGTATCTTTGTCACTGATTTATTGGTGGATTTTGAATCCAAAATGGCAATGTTTTGCTAACCCGTCATATTGGTATTCTTCATTTTCAGAGACATTTGTTGTTCCTATTGCATTTTGAGCTGCTTAGATTTGGTTTTTCTTGATCTTCATTGATCGACAGAAGCTTTGAGTGTAGGTATTATACAATGTATTACATTCTTGGTTTTGAGATCCTCAACAAGTGCTTTTGTTTGAATTTTAGAAGCTTGATGCGAAGTTGAGATTATCGAATTCATAATCTGCATGCTTTTGTCATATATGGTTTGCTCATAGAATGATTGTCCTGGGAATAGAAACTGAAGTCTGCAGCCTATGGTGTTTTTGTTTAATTTCGGAAGCTCTAGGTAGTTGTGGTGGGTTTATTTAAATTGGAACCATAATCTTCATCATCAGGTGGTGTAGCGTAACTATTACATGCTTTCTTCATCTAGGGTGCTCATGCAGTATGCATAGAATGGTTATTTTCCTCCAACAGCAACCATAGCGTGCAACATGTACTGCCTGTTTGAATTCGGAAGCTTTAGGTAGTGGAGTTGGCTTTTAGCCTGCTTTTATTGTGTTGAGCATAGAATGGCTGTTTTCCTCCAACAGCAGTGAGCTGATTATGTGGAGAAGCTGAGCAAAGGCACAATAGATCGTTAGCTATCCATAGTTAAACAACATAACGATCGATCCAGGGGACACCATGCACTCGTTCCACAATGACCACAGAGAAGCAAGGCCTGTAGTCCTGCACAGGGCAAAGAACAGAGAGACGAAAAATGCTCGAAATAATGTTTCTATGTTACTAGTTTTCATGGTGTGTCGGATTCGGGTTTTGTTAATCCCAGCATTTGTTTGTTTTTCTCTCCTGTTGCTTGCCAGATTAAGAACCTTGAAGGGAAAATTCCATGAGATAATCTCAGAGGGAAGTTGAAGTGATCTGGTTTACCATTTCTCAGAAAAGAAAAATTAAATTCTAAAATCTCTGCAATCCACGATCGATCAGAGGTTTAGATGGCATAGTTCACGGTTTGATTGAGGCGACGATATAAGTTCATTGTTGCTATAAATCAGTGAGTGACGGGCAGTTGGACGAATGATATTTCTTTTTCGTTTGTGTTTCTCAATTATACCCGATTTAACTTTTTAATCAATTAAAATCCAATGAAACTTTAATTTAAGAGTTAATTGCGCCACACATCCTTAAATTACATCCTTATTTTTAAATTGGTTTTTGAACTTTTGAATGCTCTAATCTTATCCTTAAATGATTACTCTCAAATTGGTCTTTAAAATTTGGAATGTTCCAATTTTATCCTTAAATTGTGATTTCCAAGTTGATTTTCAAACTTTTAAATATTTTAATTTAATCTTAAAGTATTGATATAGATTAATCACATCTTCTTTCAGTAAAGCTGTTAGACCAAATCATATTGTTATATGTTTGAAAATCATTTAATTTAGGTTAAATTATATTTAAAATTAATTACATATTTGGATGAAATTGGAAGAATCAGAAGTTTAATACCATTATAAAATAAGGATCATAGTTTGGGTATAAAATTAAAATGTTCAAAAGTGTCAGAACTAATTTAAAATATAAGTGACAAATTAAGGATGAAATTGGAATATTCAAATTAATTTACTGACAAGGGTGTAATTTATTTAACTATTTTTAACTGATTTAGTGCAATTAGAAATGATAGAATTTTTTCTAAAGATTCTCAACCGTTTAATATTAATCACTCAAACACTTTACAACTATTGATGTTTAAACTCGAATTCTTAAAAACATAATTATATTTTTAATCACTGAGATAATTTCACATACACACTTTTTATTTTCACAATTGCGGTTAGAACTTTATAATATATATATATATATATATATATATACTTTGAAAGAAAAAAAAGAATTTAATCAGTTTCTTTTTTTGTATTTTTTCAAGTTACGAACACCTCTCCTCCGTAGTTAAAATATTTTAAAACTCAATTAACTGAATAATCAAATTATCGTAATTAAGCTTTGTTAAGTTCAAAATTGAATCACTTAAATTAACGAGGACGTGAAAAATCCAGTTGGCTCCACTTCCAATCACAGTAGCAGCAATGTAAGCTTTCAACTTCTTTGCAACTGTAACCAATTATTTCTCTGAATTGTATATATATTCTTTCTTCATATTCTCTATTGCTTCCCTTTAGTTAGTATGCAAAAATTTGAATTAAATCTTCTGTATTTTTTTCTTTATCCTTTAGAAGATATCAGCCAGCTAATAAGATCTACTCGTTAAATTTTAGGGTTTAAATTTAACACGAATAGTTCGGAAAACCCTAGTTTAACTTTGATGGTGAAATGAAATTATGGGTTTATCGTTTTCGTGTAAAGTTGTGATAAAAAATAGGAGCAATTCAAGGAAAGATTTTCAGTGGCCTTCTACTTTGAATTTTATAAGTGAATCCCAGCAGCAGATTCTGCTAGTAAATGAGGCTTGCCATGGCGACGGTAAGGTAAGGTAGTGTGTTAAATGTTAATTTAGCTATGTATTAGTTCATGGATGAGTAGTATAACATGTTTCTGCTCTGCTGCAATAGCTGTTTGGATTAACTAAGGAAATACCTAATTATTCATTAATTTCCCGTTGCTAGTGGGTGCGCACAGAACTCGTTTGCTGAAAGAACTTGATTTTTATGTTGTCTGTTCTTACAAATGCTAGAAGATGGGTTTTGCATTGAGTTTGGAAGAAGAATAAGTGATTGGTATAGTAGTCTACTTCAAAAAAATAAATATAATAAGGAAAATTTCTCCTTTGATGCACATAAATAATAAGGAAATTTTCTCCTTTAATGCACTCAAAATTTGAACTTTGATACTATGTTTCATTTGGCTGCTAGTGATATTGTATTCATCTTAGTTTTCAGGTATCTGTACTGAGCATTATCTGTTGTTAAACAAGTGCAATGCTTTCCATGGATATAGATCTTGAGGTGCCTTCAAAGAAGAAGAGAAGTTAATTCCAGGATCAGACGAAAATGGTGATGTCATGGACCTTGCTGGGGAAATAGATGCAGAAGATGGTGATGGAACTCCTCCTGCAACCAGTGAGCATGCAGTGGAAGCCTGTGAACCAAATTTGATGGAGAGTTTTGCTGGTTGTGAGGACCAGGTGGATGTGCCTACTGCTGAGGCCAACGTCAGCAAAGGTGCCATTCTTGAGCCTCAAAATGGTTTGGAATTCGAGTCAAAGGAAGCTGCATATTCTTTTTACCGAGAGTATGCTAGATCTGTGGGATTTGGAATCACAATAGTTTCTAGTCGCCGTTCAAAAAGATCTGGAAATTTTATTGATGTAAAAGTTGCATGTTCTAGATTTGGAAGCAAGCGTGAATCTAACACAACTGTCAATCCTCGGTCATGTACAAAGACTGGCTGCAAAGCACGCATGCATATGAAGAGGATGCAAGATGAAAAATGGATAATCCATAGTTTTGTGAAAGAGCATAACCATGAAATTTGTCCTGATGATTTTTACTATGATATCAGGGGGAGGAACAAACAGCCTGATGCAGTGGCATGCGAAAAGAAAGGCCTGCAGCTGGTTCTAGATGAGAAAGATGTAGAACTGATGCTTAAATTTTTTATGTGTATGAAGGATGAGAATCCTGATTCCTTTTATACAATGGATTTTGATAACGAAAAATGTGTAAGGAGTGTGTTCTGGGTTGATGCAAGAGGTAGACATAATTACAGTCACTTTGGTGATGTGGTATTTTTTGATACCTTTTTTGTTAGAAACAAATACAAGATTCCTTACATTCCTATTATCGGAGTAAATCATCACTTCCAGTACATGTTGCTTGGATGTGCTCTGATTGGGGAGAGTACTACATCAGCTTTTGTTTGGTTAATGCGTTCTTGGCTTAAAGCAATGGGTGGGAAAGCTCCCAAAGTGGTACTTACTGATCAAGACAAAGTTTTGAATGAAGCTGTTGCTGATGTGTTTTCTAACTCTCGCCATTGTTTCTGTTTGTGGCATGTACTAAGTAAGTTTCCTGAGAATTCAGGTTGCATTATGGATCAGAATGAGAATTTCATGAAAAAGTTCAATAAATGCATATATAGGTCTTGGACACATGAACAGTTTGAAGAGAGATGGTGTAGGATGGTCGACAAGTATGAGCTGAAGGAACATGAATGGTTTCTTTCATTGTATAATGATCGGGAAAAGTGGGCTCCTGTTTATATGTGGCATGTATTTTTAGCTGGAATATCTACGACTGAGCGATCTGAAAGTGTTGCATCTTTCTTTGACAAGTTCATGCATAATGCGGCTACATTCAGTGAGTTCATTGGGCAGCTTAAATCATTCTCATTAGAGTTGTATGAAATGGAAGCCAAAGCTGATTTTGAAACACAAAATAACCAACCTTTATTGAGATCTGCCTCAGCATTTGAGAAGAAAATGTCCATGATATTTACAGATATAGTATTCAAGAAATTTCAAGCAGAGATTTTGGGAATGGTGTCTTGTCACCTACAGAAGGAAAGTGAAGATGAGGACTCTGTTGTCTTTCGAGTTGATGATTTTGAAGAACGTCAAAATTTCCTTGTAGTTTGGAGCAAAAGAGAATTTGATATATGCTGTTTATGCCGCTCATTTGAATACAAAGGTTTCCTTTGTAAGCATTCCCTCCTTGTTCTTCAGTTGTCTGGTGTTTCTGATATTCCATGCCACTATATATTAAAACGTTGGACCAAAGAGGCGAAGATTAGGCAAAATCTAGGTGAAAAATCAAACAGGCTTCATTATCGTGTGCAACGATTCAATGATCTATGCAAGCGGGCCATCGAATTGGGTGAAGAAGGTTCTTTATCTGAAGAAGCATAGTATTGCACTAAAAGCATTGGAAGATGCCTTGAAATATTGTATGGGTGTGAACAACTCTGGAAAAAGTGTTTCTGAGGCAAGAACACTACCGGTTCATGGTTTTCTTGAGACTGAAGCAGAGAATCATCGGAATGCTACAACCAAGTCGTCTAAGAAGAAGAAAGCATACAAAAAGAGAAAGGTCTGTTTAGGCTCAATGTTTGGCATGCAGATTCTTAAACTGTACTTGGGCAATATTATAGGCTTTTTGAAATGACCATTTTTCTACTGTAGGTTCAGTTTGAGTCGGAAGGAATAACTATGGGACAAGACAGCTGCCAGCAGATGGTTTGTTGTCTTACATATTTTGACTGAATATAAGCAATGGCATTGGCATTATCATCTTTGGTTTATTGTAACAGATAAGCTCAAGAGCAAACACACTAGATGGTTGTTCTGTTTCCCAGCAGGACATTCATGGGATGGTATGCAATGTCCGTCACCCAAACACAGTGGTTTGTTATAATGAAGCTGGCTAGCCATATGAATAAATGTTTGGTATTTGATATGAATTTTGTAGGATGTAAGCTCTAGAACCCCAACTCTTGATGGTTACATTGGTGCTCAACAGAATATTCAAGGACTGGTATTGGTGTCTCTTAACATCACGTTATATTATAACATTCATTTTGTACCTTTCAATTGTAGACAATAAGGTTTCTAGCCAAGTTTATCATTATTATAAGATAGCCTTACCAGGTTTGTACTTCCTGCAGGGACAGTTGAACTCAATCCCTCCATTTCGCAGAGGTTATTATAACAATCAACAAAACTTATCAGGGCTGGTATGTCAGGACTGTTAAGATTTTCCTGCAGAATGTTTTGAAAGCATTATATTCCCTTTCAATCTATTAACTATTTTTAGGGACAGCTACATTCACTACCAGCCCGTGATAATCACTATGGGAACCAACAGAGTATGCAGGCACTGATACTGAACTTGCTGGAAATCACTGCCTTATTTTGTTTTCAGGCTTTTGTTTAATGAAAATATTTCGGTATAAATATTAAGTGATTTGGAATCTGAAGCAACCTCCCCCGGAACATTGTTGCAGGCTCATCTTCCCTTTAGAGCATCGGCCATGCAGGGTTTTGACATTCAAGAAGGTTTGCAAGACGAGGTATGTGACCTGTAGGGATAAAAGTTATATCGGCTAGGTCAATAATGATGCATGCTTTTATTATGAATTCATTACTCTGATTGCAGGACCTGTCCCTGTACTCGACTCATTTTCATGGCATTGCATCAAAGCATCTTCATGATAACCTCCTATAATAGTTGCAAAAGAAGCATTTCTATACATTTATACGATGAAGAAGTCGATATAAACAGTTTTCAACACATCATTGGATCGGTAGGATAAGTTAAAGAGTTTATTCTTTTAGGGTTGCCAACACCTACAGGTAAAGAATACGACCTTTCTTTTTCCAGTTACAGTTAAATCCAAGTTGTAATGCTATTCAGATGATTTTGTGTTATTGGTATTCAATAATATTAATACCAGACACAAATTTGTAATAATCATGGTGATCTTTCAATAAAATGTTGAATGTTAAGTTACAGAAATCGGATTTAATCTCTACCATATATAGAGCAAACCCGTGATTTACCTCTTTTTCAGAAAGTTCAAATAATGTTTAAACACTATCCACAAGTTAGACTCAGCGGTAGAGAAGCTCAAATTCTTGCTGAAAATCAATTGCCCTTAGACCTCTTCTTTAGCTTGCACCACAATCCGTTCTTGGTGTGTATTGTTGCTCCTGTAACCAGCTCCACGGATTCAGGGGATCCTTTCAGTTCCACATCAAACTTTTGAAACAACACAGCCAATGCCATGGTCGATTCCATGAGTGCAAATTGATCTCCGACGCACTTCTTCGGTCCCCCACCAAAGGGTAAGAAAGCGAAATCTGATAGTTGAAAATAACAACAAACTTGCATATAAGAAAAATGAATTTGAGCAGGGTGTGGTTTGATTAAAACATTGAGCTTATGATGATAAACCTCGTTAGGGTATAATGCTACAGGGCTTCGAGACGAATCAAAACCAGCCCATCCTTCGATGCCTCCACATTCCTTTTGTTCTAGAAATATCTCAGGAAAAAATTCGTGGGGATTGTCCCAAAAGTATGGAGATCTATGGGAGATTATATACCAAGAATTGTATTTCCAACACATATCAACAAAAACAGATGGGACTCAGAAGAAGAAACTTTCAAGGGTTTATGAGGAAGCAAAAACCGGTTTAACTCACATATATGATGTCGATCCCAGCAGGAACGGTGTAGACATCTTTGTCACCTTTGTAACCTCCTGTCAATAAAAACCTGAGCTTTTAAGCCAAAATTATAGCAAATTTTGTTCTCTTCGTCATATGATCACATATGATTGTTAATTCAGTTATTTCCAATACGTTTATTGCTCTTCCATTTATTCATTTTAGTTTTTTAATCAGGAATCGTTCACTCTTAGAATCATTTATCCTACATAAATGAAATATATGCTGATAACAGCAGTTTTTTATATTTACTGACAAATATATTACCCCATTTGTAATATAAGCATTAACCGAACGTGAAATATATCAGCTCCAAAGAGAACATCAATCTCCAACATACTGATGTTTGTTAAAACCAAACCCAAGTAGTTGCTTTTGCGGCCGATTGCTGCGATGTCTACTAGAGAAAATTTTACTGTGAGACATATCCCAAGGAGTCGTAATTCGGCGGCAGACCAACTGGCTAGATTGGCCTCAGGTTCTTATCCCGGGTGTTGGTTTGGTTGTGTTGCTGATCTGTTCTGGGTTTTTTTGGATCGTTAGTTTGCTTTGTTTTTGGCTCTACCTAGGTGATTTTCGATAGTCCCCTGTAGTTGTAGTTAGCTCCTGTTTGTGTCATTGCCTGATGCTCTCTTTTTCCTCTATTTAGAGTTAGGGTGATTTTTTAATGAGGTTTTTTTAATGAGGCCCCGTGCAATACAGCTTGTTTTCAAGTAATAAAATGATCTCTTTCCTTTCGAAAAAAAAAACCCCAACTGTTCGAAAACCCGCGAGAGAGAGAGAGAGAGTTCGAAAACCCGCGAGAGAGAGAGAGAGAGAGAGTCTAAATGAGATATACCTGGCAACACAACTTCTTCAAGAGCCCGTCTGATAAGCAGTGGAGGTTGAGGATATAAACCAAGAGCCTCTACAGCAAAGTTTTTTGTACCTAAAAGGGAAGAGCAGTATCCAGAATATCATTATACTTTCAAAAGACTGATATACCTGTAACCAGATCACATGGAAATGAAAGGCTAGTGATAACGAAATAAATTTTCCATATAATAATAAGTTCAAGAGTTGGTCTCCCCTGGCCCAGAACCGAATCGACCTTTGCTTGGGCTTTTTTTTTTTTATTTTAGACGGGTTCTACATTTTTACCAAAATAACACACATCAATATGACTCCAAAGTTGTGTAGCACACACACACACATAAAAACGGCATGACAAAAGGAACGCTGCTCCAAGAGTTAGTGATAGGGATCATACTTGTGCAAGAAGGAAAACAACCCACGTAAGAACAACTGATGTTGTTTCGTGGTCAGAGTTGCGAGTAGAAACCGAGTTAGTTAAGGAAGTCAGAGAACTTTAGAGGACTGACACCCGATTAATGAGCAAGTTTGAGCAAGCCCGTCAAGGTGAAGCACCCGGTTTTGAATTAAAAGACAAAAATGTGTTGTATTATCAGGGACGGTTGTGTGAACCGTCAGTCAGTGAGTTGCGAGCCAAGATTTTGGGTGAGGCGCACTATGATCTGTTTTCTGTTCACCCGGGAGGAAACAAGATGTATCAGGACCTTCGACAGTTATACTGGTGGCCAGACATGAAAAAAGAAATATCTGAGTTCGTGTCCAGATTCTTAGCGTGTCAACAAGTGAAAGCAGAATATCAGGTTCCATCAGGGTCACTCCAACTCGTCCAGATTCCGCAGTGGAAGGCGGATTGGGTAACCATGGATTTCATGACGGGATTGTCTATGACACGAAGGAAGCACGATGCTATTTGGCTAGTGGTAGATCGTTTGACCAAATATCCTCATTTCCTACCTGTTCGTATGGATTTCACCCTAGAGAGGTTGGTTAGGCTATACAATTAGGAAATACTGAGGTTACATGGGGTTTCGACATCGATCAACTCTGACCGAGACCCATCTAGAAGGTGTTTCATGAAGCTTGGGGAACTCAGTGATAGGAAGCTAGTTAGGTTTGATTTGATCAATGAGGCGGAAGAGAAGGTTAGACTGATTCAAGGACGACTGAAGGAGGCCTTCGACCGACAAAGATCGTACGCAGTCTTGAAGAGAAATGACATAGAGTTCAAGGTTGGTGACAAGGTTTTTCTTAAAGTATCACCGTGGAAAATAATACTACGGTTTGGCCATAAAGGGAAACTAGCTTCGCGTTTCGTTGAACCTTATGAGATTCTCGATAGAATTGGACTTGTAGCCTACCATTTGGCCTTGCCACCGGAGATGGAGCACATCCACAATGTTTTTTCATGTGTCGATCCTTAGGAAATATCATTCGGACCCATCCCACGTTATTCCTTTGGAACAAATAGAGGTAAGTCAAAATATGACTTATGAGGTAGAACCGATAAGGATCTTAGATCGAGAGGTCAAAGACTTGAGGAACAAGCAGATTCCCCTGATGAAGGTTCTATGGAGGACCCATAGGGTCGAAAAAGCTACATGGGAGACCGAAGAGGACAAGCAACTCTAGTTTTCGCATCTATTCATTTCAGATAAATTTTGAGGATAAAATTTCTTTTAAGAAGTTGAGAGTTGTAACACCCCGATTTTTGGGTTAGTAGTTTTTAGGTAAAACCCGAATGAGTTGTGAATGGGCTAAGGAACCATTCAAGAGTGCTAGGCTAGTAGATGGTTAAGTTTTGGTTTGGGCTTAAGCCCAACAAGGCTTAAAAAGGGTGTTTTTGAGTTGAGTAACATAGGAGAGAGACTAGAAGTGGAATTCACAAAATTATTTCAAAGGCTGAATATCAATTAAGGTTGGTACTGCAGTCGAGCAGACTCTCTTATTCTTCTTTTTCATTTCCCTTTGTCCTCATCTTCCAACCTTGTCTTCTTTCTCCCTTTCAGACTCTCTCATTCAGACTCTCTCATTCTTCTCATTGAACCCAAATTAAAGGTAGGAACTTTTTGCTCAACATCTCCACTATGAAATTGTGAAGGTAAGATCTGAAATCACCTATCTAAGAGCTTCATTTTGAGCTCTCAACATGGTTGTTTGGCCATAGAAGCTTGAGTGGGAGTTGAGTGGGGTTTTGAGTTCTAGAACCCCTTAAGATTCCAAATTCATTTTGGAAGCTTAAAGACCCTATTTTCAATCTTCTTAAATCCTTAAATGAGTTTATAACTCATTTCTTTGATGTATTCCAATGAGAGAAGAATATGAAAGCTCTAAGGGCAGAGACAAGAGAAGGAAGTGCTTGGGTGATTTTGAGGTAATTTTTACAACTCTTAAGAGTGAGGTAACACACATTTCTAACCTTCTCATACTGCTTGTAGATCAAAATGTTAAGCTTGATGCATGTTGTGTGTATAAGCCTTTGTTTGCACTTTAAAGGGATTTAAGGCATGAAAGGGGTTTTTGTTGTGTATTTTAACTATAGGTAGTGATATTATAACACCCAAACGTTCATATTATCCCTAGAAATAATTGTATGGAAGTTGATGACTCAAATAGGCATATCTCGATAAACTAGTGATTTTTTCAGAAAGGAACGATCTCTAGAAATAATTGTATGGAATAATTTTTTTTTCATTCAATAAAGATGGCGTTTAAAGTTAAATAAATAAATAAATGTTATTTGAAAATTAATTAAAAATAAGTATTAGATTAAGAAAAAGAAGTGAGATATTTTTTTTATTTAGAAAGTCTTACACTAGTATTTTAATTTTGAGTAAACTATATATTTAATATTTAAATTATCAATTTTATTTCATTTTAATATTTAAACTTTCATTTGTTTTAAAACTATATTTAACGTTTACTTTTTATTTTATTTTAGTACCATCGTTAAAAACTTGGAACTACTACATGTGACCCTTTTAGTGGATAAACTAAATCATTCATCGCTTATATATTTCCTCACTCCTATTTTGGTAACTAAAGTTTAAAACATTTTAATTTAATTACTTAACTTTCAAATTGCTAATGTTTTGATCACTTTAATTTATTTTATTAATAATTTTTGTGATATGATGTTTTTTATTTTATTAATATATAACTAAAATAAAAAATAAATTTAAAAGTTAGAGTGATTAAATTATGAGTAATTTGAAAGTTAAGTAAAAAAATAAAAAAAATAAACTTCAATGACCAAAATAGGAGTGAAAAAATACTTAAGTGATGAATGATATAATTTATAAATAAAAAATAATTTAGTTTCTAAAAGTGTTGTTTACCCTTTAATTTTAAAAAATATTATTTTAATTAAACTAAGATTATTATAAAATAGTATATTTTATAAATACTTTCAAATATTTGATAATAAACACTCAATCAC